AAAAAAAAAAAAAAAAAAAAACTGTACATACTAGATTACAATTTTTTTTCTTAACTGAAATTCAATTTGTACTTGGTTTATAAACTGTAACTATGTACATAATGTATATATACATATATACAATTTATGTCTTCATAACATAAAGATACATACAATTTACGTCTTCGTAATATACAATGACAAACCGACCAGGTCGGCGATTATAGTAAAAAGAGGTAAAAGCTTAACGACAAGCATCATAATCTTGTGCAAGACATGTATCAAAATAATTTCAGTTTATGTTGTGTTTACAGGTAGTATATGTTGCGTTTATATTTACATAACTTCTGCCAGCTCAAATACCCTATTTCGCATGCAAACCTTGAACAATAATCGGACAACATCACTGGAGAGATTGATGTTTAGTTTAATCTCTTTATTTAACTACAGTAGCATCAAGTTTGTAGATTCACGAGCGAAACCTTTTTCAATAAGCTCCATCAAAACACTATAGAAAATAGCAGTCCTCGGCAAAAAAAAAGAACTTCTCACCATCTTGTCCAGATGATAGAGCTAATAAAAGCCATGACAAAAACCAAACATTCATTACCAAAAAATACTCAACAACAAAAAACATAAACACACGAAAAAAAAAAAAAACCATTTATATGAATATCCAAAACAACATAAAACAATAATCAACAAACAAAACGTCATTTTTGGTCACATATCTGATATGGAATGCCTACAAATCCACCATGTCTAAAGCCTTCGGGATGGGTAGTCATATGTTTGAACGATCCCATGAATGGGTTCGGGCATACGCTAATGGGTGATCCAAAGGCCTAAAAATCCACCATAAATAAGGCCTTTGAGTTGGGTGGTCGTCTATTTGAATTGTCCCATGAGCGTGTCGGGTAGATGCTAATGGGTGGCCCCGAGGCCTAAAAATCAACCATGGCTAAGACATTCGGGTTTGGTGCTTGCTTGTTTTGAACAATCCCAGAGGGAGGGGGGTTGAGTAAGTGTTCAAGACCAAAATCCAACCATGACTAAGACCTTCAGAACTGGGTGGTCGATCCTAGTGTTGGATCGTTGCAGAAAGGGAGGACATATAGCTCGAGCAGGTCGATGGTTTTTATTTGGTTTGTTTTTGTTGGATTTATTTTTTTGACCTCAATGGCAAGTTGATGGAGTTCGCATGGTGCGATTCAAAGAGCTTGTTCACAGACCTCGGTGGCAGGTCTATGGTTTTTATTTGGTTTGGTTTTGTTGGATTTATCTTTTGACCTCATCGATGGAGTTCGCATGGTGCAATTCAATGAGCTTGTTCACATATCTCGGTGGCAGGTCGATGGTTTTAATTTGGTTTGGTTTTGTTGGATTTAATTTTTGACCGCAGTGTCCGGTCGATGGAGTTTGCATGGTGCAATTCAAGGAGCTTGTTCACAGACCTCGGATAAGGGGTTCGCTGTGGATATGAAAGTTCGGGAGGTCCGCTCTTTTGTTCGTGGAATCAAGCTAGCTACCTTGGCTGGTTGGGACCGTGAAGTCCACTTCATTCTATGGGAAGCTCCGGGAGTTGGAGTCGCTAAAATCAATACAGACGACTCTCTTTTGACTGCGTCTGGAATAGCGGCAGCCGAGAGGTTGCTTCGCGATACCTGAGGGAGATGGCTTGGGGGGTTTGTCATGAATATCGGTTTTTGTTCTATAACGGACGCAGAGCTATGGGGCCTTTTTCAAGGCCTCCTTCTAACATGCGAGTTGGGCTATCAAAAGTTCCTTGTCGAGGTAGACAATAAAAGTGTGGTGTCAATGGCAAATGGAGGCTCAACGGAGATCCTTGGAGTTTATGGTAGTGTGGTTCGGGCCATCCGTGAGCTGCTTAGCCGGGACTGAGAGGCTACAGTGACCCACTGTTATAGAGAAGCTAATTTTGTGGCCGATTGTTTGGCGACTCTAGCACATCAATATCTTAGCGGTTGCCAACGTTTATTAGACCCACCATCGGCAGTTAAGCCGTGGATACAACATGACCTCATTGGCGTTGCTTACCCGTGGTATATAATTGCCTCAAGTTCCTAGGCTTTTGTCACCTCTCTTTGTACAAAGAAAAAAAGGTACACATCCCCTATAAAAACGGGCTAAGGTATCACAAAAACGCATTCTCTCTACATTCTCTATTATACTCACATATTGCATTTCATCTCTGGCAAGTGTTGACTTAGGCATCGAAGGCTCAACGCTGGAAGCCCTCCCGACATTGACTTCTTGTAGGTACGGAGGCCGTCCGAGTTGAAGGAGCCCGAGTGAAGTCCATTTCACTATTAATATCAATTTCGTCATCAACAAAAAATATGCTAATATACCAATCATAAACTATAAATAATCATCAAATAAACATTGAAACATAATTGATCGAAACTATCCACATGTCGTTGATGCTCACAAGCAAGGTTGTCGTCGTGCTATCGCCGACGATCGTTCTTGAGAGAGCCCACATTCGTAGTCATTCGTCTCCAAGGTGTTAGACATATCACCGCCATCAGTTGTTACCGCCTTTTGACGAGCCAAGCGAACCACTACCGCTCGAAAGTGGTGTCGCTGTTCGTCTCGTCACGCCCCTTGGACCAACTCCGCCGGTGCTCGACCCTCCGTCGCCAATGACCGACAGGTCGAGATCCCACTGCCTTCGGCTAAAGTCTGTCGTCTGACGACCTCTGCCACTCACGAGCCAAAAAGGGTCGCCGCACGATCGTAGTCGTCCGCTTCAGCCGTCCAAGCCAATAAATAGAGAGAGAGAGAGAGAGAGAGAGAGAGAGAGAGAAGATTAGAAATGGCGTGAGGTGTGGAATGAA